TGATCTTAAAGGAAGGATATTGTGGTCCTCTCTTTTACTAACATCTCAATCTTTTTTTTTTTTAATCCTCATCAGATGGCTGTAGATGTTTGGAGATAAGATTATGACAAAAGGGGGATAAATAAATAGACAGGCCTTTTTCTAGTTGTTGGCTTGTTGAATGCAAATCATATTAGAGCTATCCTCATCAACTAGCAATTGTTTTGTGCCATAAACAGAATAGTTAAAAGATTCCCAAACTAGCCCTCTACCCACTCTTTCTCATATTAGACTGCACGCCACAAATCCTACGTGCCCTGTCTTGTCCACTGAAATTGGAACGGGAAGTCCGAGATGGAGGTAGCTGGACCCTCTCCAATTATCACCTAATAGGAGAGCATATGGATCCTGACGGAGACTGAGCATGACAACTGTTTCACAAACAAGTCGATTATGGTTCTTGTTTGGCAAGCGGTCGAAAGTCGCTTATAAGCCACTTTTTTGTGGCTTATAAGCCGCTTGGACATGTTTGGTGAATACCTCATTTGGACTTGTTTTTTGGTGGCTTATAAGTCATAAGGTTAGACTGAGCAAAAGACCAATATAATCATTACTATTTTGGAAAATTTCAAGTCTCGTTTGTCTCTTTCCGACCTTAAAAAAAACCTTTTGATCATTTTGACAATAACGATAACCAAGTAATTTATCATTGAAAACACATTGTAATCCTTTTCATAAAATAATGGAAATGGATTCCAAGACAAATAACCATTTCTAAAAAAATTTGTGGATCTCAAAGGAATCCATAACTTGTGTTTGGTGTGGAATGATGAAGTGCAGAATAGGAATGCATATCCAAAACTCATGTTTGTTTAATTGCCAAATAATTTAGGGAGTTGTGAGAGTAAATGATCAGTTGTTAATAAGTTGTCAGATTTCTAGCCCATTTCGGAGCTTAAAAAGAGGATTTAGGCTTTCCATAAAGTAGGCTGCCATGTCAGCTTTTACAAAAGGTATTCTTAAAAAAAAGTTGAACCAAATGACAGTTTTGAAATCCTATAACGTCAAAAAACCTATTTTTTGTTCCAAAACTACAGGATTCCTAAAAATTTAGCCGAACCAAACAACCCCTAAGTTTACCGAACATTTTGATTTATTATCCACTTAGCTTATAATCTGATTATAAATTATAAACCAAGTGAATTATAATCCAAAGTTGCCAAACATGCTCGACCTAGAATGTCCAGAAGCAGCAATTTGTGCCCTACTTTGAAAGTTAAACTGACCAAAAAAAGAAAGTTACTGACACAATTACCTAAGCGGATAGGCCCTCAAATGATAACTGTTCTCGTCAGCGTAAGGTTAAATCTCTGGATACAGGAGATCTCCAGTTGGATTTGGTGGCTGGTGGCGTCTGATGGTGGGTCCCATCAGGTCAGGGGACCACCACAGGAAAAGTACGCCCTGTAAATGCGCATGCATGCACAAGTCCTTTCACAAAATAACAACAAAAACCTGATACCTGTTCATTCCTGGAGTCAATGTTTCCATCTTTGTTAGGTTGATTCTGGTGGGGAGTTGAATATTTCTCCTGTTTACGGAGGAGGCATACATACATAGCAAAAGATCAATCATCACCATCAGCTCCAGCTACCTTCATTCATGTATTCATGTAACCGACAGGTTAGAATATAGATCACAACTCCTGTTACCTGTGAAGGCTCCATATGATTGTAACCTGCCAATTTGAACATTATGAAGCAATAGGGTATATGGAGGGGAAATGTCCAATATACCCCCGTGGGTATCCGATGGAGATCGCATACGTCGAGTACGCGGCGTTCCGGTGGATATGAGATATGGGAGGCGGATAACCCATTATATCAAAATAGGTGTGCGGCGTTCTTCCGAAAGCAACTGGAGTAAAAGAACAAAAATAAACAGCCAGAACCATAAAAATGTCTTTTTCGGTTTATGAAAACTAGCCGCTGCCCGGCATGGTGCAAGTTATCTTGAAGTTTGTCTACAAAAAAAAAACGACTTCTTCCGATGCTTCCAAATTAGCTAGGGATCCTGAATTGAATTTGGATCCTCTCAACTAAAAAAAAAAAAAAAAAAACGAAAACCACTACATTAATTATAGCCGTTGACTGACTTGTTTAGTATGTAGTTATGATTCATTTTAAATCAAACACTCGTCACACCTCATGAGTTACACTCAAAGACAAATCACCACCACCCATTAAAAAAATTAGAAATTAGTAATACAAAAGCGGTGAATCCTCTTTAATTACCGTTGTATGATCCAAAGCAAAAGGATAAGCTTGTTCAAAATAGGCAATGGAACTATTAGAAACATCTTTAAGTGCAGTAGAAAAGCAAGAGAAGCAACATACTCCCTGCACGAACCTCCTTAATCAGGTCACTATCATGCTTAAACAAAGAAGCCAAAGAGAAACCGCACTCTTTGTTAGGCTCAAACTACTCAACCCAAATCCATCAACATCTCACAATAGTTGAATAAATAAGTTTTCTGACCTATTGATTATGTTAAATTCACCTGCAGAAGCCAAGAAACAAGGCGGCTAGTGAGAAAAAAAATTAAGCAAAGAGATCAGCACACAAGGAGTTCAGTGTCGCCATCATTGTATTAATATCAACGACAAGATGAGGGCATTAAGTCTTGCTAATCCTAATCCAGTTAAAGAAGCATGATATGGACATAAAAGAAGCTGTCTTAGTCATAAGAGCTCACACTATTCAATTTTTATTGAGTCGGGAAATTTTTTTAAAAAAAAGGGAAAGCAAAATAGCTGGCAAGCATTAGAGCAGCGTGTTACTTAAAAGTAAGGATTAGTAAAAATGATTAGAAGTTGATGGACTTAGAGATATCATTTGTTTGCATGGGCAGAATTCAAGAATAATCAGCAAATGGAAGAAATTTGGAGATTTAATCAAATATGCAATGAGCTCGTTCAAAATTTGATGTTGTTCCTAATAAACAGCGACATTTAATGATAGTTAAAATTGGACGTAAAAATGTAACTTTTATTCGCTGCTGAGATAGTAATCCAAGGGGGGGAAATGACAAAAAAAAGAGGCTACTTTACAGTCACAAAAGATAGCAGATAGAAAATGAAGTTAGCTAAAGTACATCTATATTGAATGATAAAACAGATTTTTTTTTTAAGTCTTTTCATAGGGACCATATTAAAAATAGGATCATTTTATAGAAACCACCTTTTATTTTTAATTTATACGTAAATCACCATTAAAGTGATTTTTTGTTCCAATCAACCATCTTCCAGTCAAAATCTTCACTTAAAACACCAAAATACCCTTAAAACTCACTTCAAGACACACTCTATGGCAACATTTAGGTCTAGTTAGATACAAATCACATATCTTAAACGTGCACTTTTTAAGGTTATTTTTGGGTTTTTAGTGAAAATTTGATTGGGAGGTAGTCAGGTAGTTGATTGAAACAAAAACCCATTTTAATGGTGGTTTATGTATAAATTAAAATGAAAGGTGGTTTCCGTATAATGACCTATCTTTAAGGTGGTTTCCAGGAAAAAAAAAACCCTTTTTGTTAATAAGAGGTGCATATCTGTCAAAAGACCAAGGAACAATTTTTGAGCGAGATGATGTGTTTGCGGTTTAAAATATCGATTAATCGCTAGGATCGTTATAACTATCGGACAAAAGAAAATTTCAGCAAGGATTTCAATAATATAAGTTTCACAACAAGTAATGAACTGATTATTCAAAAATTGACGCTCCAAGGATGCAGAACAGAAATACTTTGAACTCATATTTATCACAAAGAGGGTATCAAGTAATGTGAACTTGGGTTCAAACAATATGGGAATAAATACATCTTTAACAGAAACAATCTAACACTGAGATCAAGATCGGAAACAGAAACCCTAATTGCCGGTCTAAGTTCCAACCCTTTCTAGTCAAGTGTTGGAAAGAGGTAACAGGTTCAACTCATGCAAGCAACCTATTAACAGGAAATTATATTCATTCCCATAAGTTGAAGAGAAAGAGAATGAAAAAAATATTGCTAAAACTCATAAGTAGAATACTAGGTTGAATTTGAAAAGAGACATAATTAAGCACAAAAAAGAGCATACATTGCTTTAAAAGCAGTAAGGATCATCATGGGTGGCATGAGATACCCAGGGCACACCACCTAAATATTTGTGGTGGAAAGGCATCGCAGCACTTATTGATCAAATCCAGGAAAGGTGTCATAGTGATGATAGAAAAGAAACCAAACATGTAATAAATAGAAAAAGCATTACACTGCCTATCTATACGAGACCTGGAGTGAACAGAAGAATCAGTGAGAAACGACTTGTTACCAGCTCGAGCAGTCGTGGCATCCACTAAACCATAAAGTTCTGACCTCATAAGCAAACAAGAGGAGGACCACTCCTTACTGAAATTACCTGCATCAAGAGATCATATAAATCTGAAATTTTCATGGTTTAAAAAGGTTAAAACCCCTTTGAAGTTTTTAGAATAGATGAGAAATAGTAATGAGAAGCAGGAAGATATTTCTACAAGCAAACCAAGTTGACAGTATTAGGCATCTTGTACAATTATCCTCAAGATGGAAGTACATGATAGTAGTATTTCTACTTGTATGAATGTGTACGGTTTTACTGTTAGTATAAGCAAGGAGCTATCTTGGTCACAGGATGTAAAAAGGGCCACTTTCATTTCTCATGACTAGCTGGTGAGCTGGTTATTTAAGGTAACCCAACATAATTCCTTCAGATTATGACTGAGTTCATACCGAAAAAACCACTGAAGAAAAGATGTTCTGAATCACTCATGTTACCTATCTTTTTTTTCTCCTTTTCCTACTGAACACCAATGTAAGAAATAATTACACTAAAATATGTGTTAAGTGATAGAACTTGTATAGGAAACGAAACAATGCAGAAATTATTCAAGATTCTGCATTGCAAACTAATTCAAAAATAATAATAATAATAGTAATAAATAAATAAATAAAATCCAAATCACAATACAAAAAGGAAACATACCGATTCAAAGATAGATCACCATCTGAGCGTTCTTCTCCATGAGCCCTAACTTCTCATAGAACCCCTCATGTCCAACGAGCAATCAAGAATCACCTTATAGCACCCTACCCTCCTTAGCATGCTCCGCAGGGTATTCAACCTCCTTCAGCCCTCATTGCTGTCCGCTGACTTCATTATCAAACAACATCTTCATGTGGCTGATCTTGGCACATTCTCATAAAAACATTTCCTCATCGCCAAGGGTGGCGAGCTAATTGAGTTAGAGGTCTAATTAGGAGTTAGAGAAGGGAAGGGGCATGGATTAGGATGGGAAAAAATATAATCAAACTAAAAGAAAATCATTTAGTTTTTTTAATGTTACTTTCCGCCAAAAAAGAACGAACGAAAAATAAAATCTTTGTATACACCAAGAAGTAGTTATTACAACAATTACTTAAGTCCTTGGTTTCAAGAACAATATCTTGCTACATTAATGGATTTAAAAGAAATAAAGAACATGTACATTTATTATAGCCTGGAATGCACAATATTTAAGTTTACAGCATGAGGATCAAAAATGGATCCTAAATGCAAAAATTTATACGTTGAGTGTCCTTTTTCATCGTATAAACTACTTTTGCAGCTTAAATGTATAAAACAAAAACAAATCTTATGAATCGAAATTTCAAAGTATGAAAGACATCTTTAATAGCATCAGCAACATATTTTTTTTTTTTCACTGTGTTCTTGTGACAACCCTCTGTGTAAGATCTATAAGAGCACGTCTTGAGATCAAAACCTCATCTGTGTCAGTTTTAGGAAGAGAATTGATGGCTTCAATTGCTCGGTTGGCATGTTCAGCTGCTAGCTCCTTTGCCCTCTCAATTCCTCTACTCTTCCCAAGATAGTCAAGTGCCTATTATTTACATGAAGAAGCATAATCATTAAGAGAAACATACATTTTTCAAAGAGTGAATTGCATTTACCCCTTCCAAAGTTTCTTATACTTGCACTTAATCCCTCTAAACTTTATTTTCCGTTGCTTTTCCCTCCCAAAGTCTGTTTTCTTAGCATATTTCCCTCCTATCATTTAAAACTGACAACATGATTATTTTTAGAGCAAAAAATACCCGTGACCTTACAATTATTTTGTAGTTTTCAAAGAAGATATAAATCAATAAAAGTTCAAAAAATAATTTAAAATTACGGTCTTTCACTCTTGTTACAAATCGAAATTCAATGTTATTTCTATATCTTTATATCCATTCTAAATTTAAATATAGTTCTAATTATAGTATATATATGCATGTATTATATATACCTAATCTAGATTTATTTCTAAACTCTAATATTAGTATTTTTAGTAAACAGGAAGCATGATTTTTCACTAATTAGTATTGTTTATTTTAATTAATTGGTTACAACTTAAATATTTTACTTTGAATAATATTTAATTCTGACTTAAAAATTTAAATTTAGAATAAAAAAATTAAGAATTGATCTTTAAAATCAGATTTGATTTAGAATTAGGAGAATGGATGAAAAACATTTTGTTATGATAGACACTTTAATATTGTATCTTAAAAATAGCAACTAATAATTAATGGTTTGTTGTATTATAGTAATTTATGAATATCATTTTTATTATTCTTTAAACTATGATATGTATGGGTAGAAGAGTCTTTTCATCTCTATTATTAACACTATTAATAGTAAATTAGTAATCAAATGTTTTTCCTTTTTTTTTTTTGGGGGGGGGGGGAGGGAGGGGGCAGGGCGGTGAGGGGGTTGGGAGGGGGGCCGGCAAGGGGGGGGGGGGGGGGAGCGAGACACCGGGGAGCTCGGGAGCGGGGGGGCAAAAGCAATGAAGAAAAAACCTTGAGGCAATTGCAAGTATGTGAAACTTTGGAAGGGATAAATGTGATTTACCCTATTTCGAAAGCATTGAGTAAATTCTGTATTATTGCAAACAAATAAGGGGTTGTTTGGATGTAATGGCAAGCTTTTAGTTTTCTGACAAAATCAGAGTTCTTTAAAGCATTAGCATGGACCCAAATTTTTCATGGAATCCTAAGTATTCATTCCATGGAAACAAACAGCCCTAAATGAAGGTTGATGCATAGGCATGCTCTGTACTTCATTAAGACAAAATATCAGAACTTTTTAAGGCTAGTGTATATTATTTATATGTAGCGTTAGGAATATTGACATGATTGAGATAAGAGATATCCTACCGAGGGGTGCAATTAGAAATTTGTAGGGCCAAGGATTTCTCTCATTGAATTGGTGCAAAAAGAACTAGCAGTTAGGAGATGGGAGACAATTCGAAAACGAAAGGGAAAATTGTGAAGCTTACGAAGGAGATCTGCACGGTCTTATTCAACCAATTGGCAACAAGTAATAGGAGGAGATGAACAATGAGTTACAGCATATATGAACAAATCACTAATAAACAATGAAATCGAAACAAGCAACATATTGAACAACCTATAGGAAGGAAGGTTTTACCAAACTCTGTTAGAATTCGCCTAGTGACTTCCTGGAAAGATAAAGGAAGAAGCGTGAAAAAAGGATGTAATCCTTGTTGAAGACAATAAGCTAAATAATGACAATGTGCCTTCTGTTTATAAGTTTTCAGGTATTTTCCAAATGTTGATTTTACAGTAGTATAGATAATAGATATATTTTGTTACTGTTGGATGTATTGTTTATGAAAAGACAATTTTGCCTTTGTGAATAGGCCCACATTGAAAATTGAATTGGATTGTAAGTGATTTATAATGGAACACCTCTTATTGGGCTTTGAATAGTGTTTTGGGTTTTGTGGGCTTTGCATAACACATGCGCGCGCGGGAGCGCGCCACGCCGCACCGCACACGCACACATTTTTTGATCAAAAATCTTTAATTTTACCGTTTGGTAATTCCTTTTGACTCGTTCGTACATATGCGGAGATGACGCGGGGAGTTACGCGGATCCTGTGTAACGTGTACGGATTTGGAGCAACGGCTCTTTGGTCTCCAGCTCCTATATATACAGGGGTTCTCCTCCTCGGAAGATATACAAGTCTTTCTCTCTTCACCTCCATTTCTCTCTTTAAAATTTCGGCTACTATTATTTTTTTCGGGCAACCATCTTCGTCTCAACAGAAGCTCTGCTACTCTCGTCCGAGTACGAAGGCCGGCCGAATCGGAGGATTTTACCGCTAAGGGAGAGAGGATCGACTGCGTCAGGGCGATAGGCGGGTCCTCAATCTTTTAGGGCAGTGAAATCACGATTGCTTCCGATAAGACCTGAATTTCTAACTTTTTATTTCGGATTTTATACTAATATTCTCTTTTTGACAGCAATCTAGAAGATTGACAATTATTATTGCTATTAATTTAAATCTGAAATAACTTGATCTAAAATTAAGAACTTTTATTTGTTGCCTAATTTTGTTAATCGAAGAGGGGGAGAAAATATCACTGTTCATCAGATTCTTTACCGTACATCCGGGAAAAAAAATCCTCTGTATCTATTCATTTAAAAAAAAAATTACTGCAAATTGCTTTACTTTCTTGTTGTTTATTTGTTAACTAATAATTTAATTTAGTTGCTATTAAAAAAAACTGTTTACTGTTCACCAAGGGTTACTCGGGGAAAATTTACTGTGTTAAAACATTTTATTACTGTTTACCTAATCTAATTGCTTTCTTTATTTATTGGTTTATCTAGTAATTAATAGTAGTATTAATTAGCTGTTGTTTTATAAAATAAGGTTACTATTCAGGGGGGGAATTATTTTACTGTTCACAGGAAAAGAAATATATAATATTGTTCTAATTATCTAGTAAATTACTATTGTTTGTTTGTTGCCTTTTAACTAGAAATTAATTAAAAATCATTTACTGTCTAATTTGTTTACTGCATTAGAATTTTAATATTCTTTTCAATTATTAATTAAAGTCATACTCTTTAGTATCTAGTAGTATTGACAAAACCATTATTTCTATCAGATTCTAAATATCTAGACTAGTAAACTCAACTTGGACTTATGACTAAGTCTGATCATTCCAAGAGTGTCAAACTTGAGAAGTTCATCGGTGTTAACTATAAACGGTGGACTAATCAGATGAGATACTGGCTCACCACCTTAAGTCTTCTATCTGCCATAAAAACTCCGGAGTCTTCATCCAGTGGATCTCAACCCTCCAACTCTTCTGTTTATGGTCCTCAACCTAAACCCTCTCCTTCCACTTCAGGCTCTAGTGCTAGCTCCTTTTCTAGCTCTATGAAACCAGAAGAAATCAACTACCATTGTTGTCATACGATTCTTAGTGCACTTGCAGAGAACCTCTATGACATATATTATGAGTTCAAAAGTACTAAAGAGTTATGAAATGCTCTTGAAGCAGAATATGACTATGATGATGCTTGAATTCTGCGTTTCACTTCCTCCTCCTTTAATAAGTTCATGATGGTTGATAACAAACCCATTAATAAAAAAATTCATGAATTCTAAGATTCTCTGTCACCTCCAATCAAAAGGAAACACTTTTACTGATAGTTACAAAGTTTATTGTTTGATTGATAAACTCCCTCCCTCCTGGTCTAGATTTGTTGAAGATCTCCGATACAAGCAAGGAAATTTAACCTTAACTAAATCCCTCAAGGCTATTCGTATTGAAGACCAGCATAGGCAAAATTCTAAAACCAAGACCGAATCAAAAGCTAAAGTGAACTTGGTAGAGGATAAGCCTAAATCTAGGAATTTCAAACCCAAAGGGAAGAAATTCAAAAAAATCAGCAATCTTTCAACAAATCTTCTTCCAAATCCAATCCCAACTCTTCCAGCCATAAGTCTAATGAAAAGTTCTGCTATGTTTATGGTAGAACCAACCACCTGGCTCCCAACTGTTTCTTTCGGAAGAAGGAACCGGCCAAACATGTTCCTAAAGGAAATGGATCCAACAAAGTTAATATGATTGAAGAGAATCCAACTTCCTTCAGATTAGCCTTTTCATCTTATCTTATTAATTCTCTTACTTCTTCCACTGACTGGTACTTGGATTCCGGAGCTAATATTCATGTTTGTAATGATCGCTCTTAGTTTTTAACTTATCAGGAATCATGTAGAGGAAGCATAAGCTTAGTAGATGACTCCACCAAATAAATAATGAGAAGTGGATGTATAGAGCTCACCATGACCTATGGGAAAGCTCTGAATTTGCAAGGCGTTCATCATGTTCCTTCTCTCCGTCACAACTTGATCAGTGAATCTCTTCTTCTTAGAGGTGGCTTTGGGATTGCAAAGGGATCAAATAAATTTGTGAGTACCAAGAATAATGTATTCATTGGAAAATATTTTATCTGTAATGGTCTTTTCAAACTCAATGTAATCAATTTCAATTCTAATAAAATTTCTGAGTCTTCTGTTGCACAAATTGTTGAGTCTTGTGATGTTTGGCATGGACGACTTGGACATGTCAATTTCCAAACCTTGCAAAGAATGATTAAATTGAACCTTATTCCCAAATTTTCTCATGATCCGTCATCTAAATGTGAGATTTGTGTTCAAGGGAAACACACTAAAAAAACCTTCAAGTCTATAACTAGAAACTCCGAACCTCTCGAATTAATTCATAGTGATGTGTGTGACTCGAACCGAGTCCTCACCTGAGGGAGTAGGAGATATTTTGTGACATTTATAAACGATCACTCAAGATATTGTTACACCTATCTTCTCAGAACTAAAGATGAAGTCTTAGATAGATTTAAGGTGTACAAAGCTGAATTTGAGAATCAACTTGACAGAAAGATCAAGATTCTAAGATCTGATCGTGGAGGGGGAGTATACCTCAAATGATATAATTGAATATTACCAAGAACACGGTATTATTCATGAGGTTACTGTTCCCTATACACCACAGTCTA